GCTATAGCTTGTTATCTCTGATTGGGGACCATACTTAGGCAGCCTGTTTGGCACTGTTATTTTGTGGGATCTTGTTCCGTTTGGTTTGTTGTATGACCTAGGACTTCACGTTTCGTTTTGTTGTTTTGGTTCGTGTGAGTACACTAAATAAAGTATGTACGCCTATCACGCTGCGCCTTGGTCCGCTTCTTATAACGATCGTGACAGAAGATCCCACCACGACTGGATCAAGCAGTGTGAAGAGGAGAGAGGATGGACTTGGGAGGAGAAGAGTGAGAGTCTGGCGAGAGCCATGGAGGCCATGTTCACGGGGGAGAGACAAGCCCAAAACATTTTTAGGGGGGGGGCTCACGCCGTGGACGACGAGGCAGCAGGAGGCCGCGATAGAGCGGTTCAGCCGGTTAGCAGAGGAGGCCACTAGGTTACGGGGGCCACTGGTCACGAGGGAGAAGGAGAGTGTGGAGGCACGGCGAGAGGAACTGGTTAGGCAGCAGAGGGAGCGGAGGTTTATGAGGAAACCCAGTCCCGCTCCTCGCACCAAGTAAGTGGTGTGTGTCACCAGTCCGGTCCGGCCCGTTCCTGATTCCCGCACAAGGCCAGTGGTGTGTGTTCCCAGTACGGTCAGGCCCGTTCCTGCTCCCCGCACCAAGCCAGTGGTGCGCGTCGCCAGCCCGGTCCGGCCCGTTCCTGCTCCCCGCACCAAGCCAGTGGTGCACGTCGCCAGCCCGGTCCGGCCTGTTCCTGCTCCCCGCACCAAGCCTGTGGTGCGCGTCGCCAGCCCGGTCCGGCCTGTTCCTGCTCCCCGCACCAAGCCAGTGGTGCGCGTCGTCAGCCCGGTCCGGCCTGTCCCTGCTCCCCGCACCAAGCCAGTGGTGCGCGTCGCCAGCCCGGTCCGGCCTGTTCCTGCTCCCCGCACCAAGCCTGTGGTGCGCGTCGCCAGCCCGGTCCGGCCTGTTCCTGCTCCCCGCACCAAGCCAGTGGTGCGCGTCGTCAGCCCGGTCCGGCCTGTTCCTGCTCCCCGCACCAAGCCAGTGGTGCGCGTCGTCAGCCCGGTCCGGCCTGTTCCTGCTCCCCGCACCAAGCCAATGGTGCACGTCATCAGCCCGGTCCGGCCCGTTCCTGCTCCCCGCACCAAGCCAGTGGTGCTCTTCGCCAGCCCGGTCCGGCCTGTTCCTGTCCCTCGCACCAAACCAGTGGTGCGCGTCGCCAGCCCGGTCCGGCCCGTTCCTGCTCCCCGCATCAAGCCAGTGGTGCGCGTTGTCAGTCCGGCACGGTCCGTGCCTGTTCCACCGGTGCCTGGTCCGGCACCGGTCAGCTGCTCCACACCGGAGCCAGAGCAATCCGCTCCACCGGTGTCCAGTCCAGCTCCGGCCAGCGGGGCCAGACCAGACCAGGGGCGCTACGGGGGGGTAGAGAGAGAGGGGTGGTCACGCCCGGAGCCGGATCCGCCTCCGAGGTGGAATGCCCACCCGGCCCCTACCCTCTTGTGTTTGGTTGGCGTGGTCGCAGTCCACGCCTTTGGGGGGGGGGGTACTGTCACGCCCTGGCTCTGGGGACTCTTATATGTTGAGCCAGGGTGTGTAGGTTTCATTGTTTAGTTTTCTAGGTTTGTGTTCTAGTTCGTGTATATCTATGTTGGCCAGGGTGGTTCCCAATCAGAGGCAGCTGTAGCTTGTTGTCTCTGATTGGGGACCATACTTAGGCAGCCTGTTTGGCACTGTTATTTTGTGGGATCTTGTTCCGTTTGGTTTGTTGTATGACCTAGGACTTCACGTTTCGTTTTGGTTCGTGTGAGTACACTAAATAAAGTATGTACGCCTATCACGCTGCGCCGTAACGATCGTGACACAGTGGAAAAAGTGGAAGAGGGGAATGTTATGTGATTGTGGAAATCTCATATTTGGGATCCTCTTGTTTTATCACCATAATGCTAAATCGACTGCAACTGATCAGTGAATAGAGATGGAAGGAGAAGCGTGCTTCCTGAAAGGTCAAGCTTGTTCTGATACACCTACACTGGGACTGACAGACTGCAAACGTGACTACCATTCCCACTGGCCACACACTTGTGACCTGACCTTGGCCTAAAATAATTCCCTCAAATCGATACCATGCCTTTAAATAGGTTGAGTTTTATTTTTGTGTCTTGGTGTGACGTGGCTGTGTGCAGGAAGTGTCCAGTGTGGAACGGTATTCTCTACAGTTTCAGTAAACCTATCCCTCCCTACGGGCTAAGGAATGCCCTGTCATCGCCAAGGAAACTGCTAGGAGATATCTGCGTCTTAACAAGCTGCAGAATTTAACACATTTACCCTAAGACTCCCATCAGTGTCCCTGGGGAGTGTAAATAAATATGCATTAAATCAATGTGGAGAAAAAAACTGAAAAACGGTCTTGTCAGTAATAAAAAGAAGTGCTGAATTTCGACGGTTCGTTATTATTGTGATGGTCCACTGCTTTCCTTTGTGTCAAACTGTCAAGAGACCACATCACTGACCATAACTGCCATTTCATACTTCACTATGTTCTTAAAGGTCCAATGCAGCCATTTTTATCTCAATATCAAATCATTTCTGGGTAACAATTAAGTACTTTACTGTGATTGTTTTGAATTAAAATGGTCAAAAAGAAAGAAAAATAGCTTCTTAGCAAAGAGCAATTTCTCAAGCAAGGTTTTTGCTAGGACTGTCTGGCAGTGGTCTGAGTGGGGAGGGGAAAACTAAAAACTAGCTGTTATTGGAGTGGTTTGGAACTTTCTTATTGGTCTAACCAAAAGAAAACAGGCAGAAATTTCAGGCAGTCTTTTCAAACAGCTCTCCACTAAAAGGGCATTATCATAATTGTCACAATTTCACAGTATTATACCAACCATAGTGTGGAAATATACACTCACTGGTCAGTTTATTAGGTACACCACCACGTTCACAAAAATGGATCGCTCCTACAGACAGTGAGTCACTTGGCCGTGGCTTGCTATATAAAGCAGGCAGACAGGCATCGAGGCATTCAGTTCCTGTTCAATTGAATGTTAGAATGGGCAAAATGAGTGACCTAAGAGACTTTGAGTGTGGTATGATCGTTGGTGCCAGGCACGCCGGATCCAGTATCTCAGAAATGGTCACCCTCCTGGGTTTTTCACGCAAGACAGTGTCTATGGTTTTCCGAGAATGGTGCGACAAACATAAAAATCCAGTCAGCGGCAGTCCTGTGGGCGAAAATAGCTTGTTGATGAGCGAGGAAGAAGGAGAATGGCAAGAATCGTGCAAGGTAACAGGCGGGCCACAAACAGACAAATAACGGTGCAGTACAACAGTGGTGTGCAGAACGGAATCTTGGAATGCACAACTCGTCAATCCTTGTCACGGATGGGCTACTGAAGCAGACGACCAAACAGGGTTCCACACCTATCAGCTAAAAACAAGAAGAAGGGGCTCCAGTGTGCCGATCACCAACACTGGACAACTGAGGAGTGGAAAAACATCACCTAGGCCGACGATTTGGCTTAAGCAGCATGAGTCCATGGACCCATCCTACCTGACACCGACCAATCTGCAGCAACTGTGTGATGCCATCGTGTCAGCATGGACCAACATCCCTGTGAGATGTTTCCTACTTGTAGGTCTGACCCGGTACTAGATGGGTGTACCTAATAAACTGGCCAGCGAGTGTATAGAAAACACAGGAAAATCACGTTATTTGAGGGCTGAGGAAGCCTGCATGGGGTTCTGTTCTGTTGGGGATTACTTCTTCATTTACACACCACCTGGCATTGCTTCCCACCACAGAGAGAGACAAGGCCCATCTCCACCATTCTCCCCTGAGGGTATGGATACTGGCAGACATACTGTAGCTACATCTAATACTTGAAGCATAACAGTTTTATTCCACAACACACACAGTAGGAGTGCATGACACAGCAGATAACAGGGTAACCACTACAAAGAACATGACTGAGTTTCCCTGTACTGTATGTACGTTGCCAGGGGAAGCAGAAGCCAGAAGGCCTCTGGGCAGGCATGGTGAATGGTGTCGCTGGCACACTGGAAAATAGCAGTTGATCATTAATGCAATTTACAGAGAAACAGAGAGAGAGAGGAAATGGGACAATTTATAAAATAATTAGTGAGTTAGGCCTGATGAATACCAGACCCCTCCAGTAGCAGAGAGAGAGAGAGCGAGAGAGAGAGAGAGAGAGAGAGAGAGAGAGAGAGAGAGAGAGAGAGAGAGAGAGAGAGAGAGAGAGAGAGAGAGAGAGAGAGAGAGAGAGAGTTCCTACTGCTGCCCTCCCAGGCCTGGCCTGCAGCACCAGAGGCTAAGCTGAACACACTGACCCCCTAAAGCCCCTGACTTTGTACTGCGTGTACTCCACATGGTGTGTGTCATGTTATGTACAGAGATCACAGTCACGCTCCCATTTAGAGAAGGACTTGGGCTGCGTCCCAAATGGCCCTATGAGTTCTGGTCAAATAACTATGTAGGGAATAGGGTGCCATTTAGGATGCATACCTGGTGAGAGAGTCATGAAATGCTGCTGGGCTTGGGTTATTATGTGGGTGAGTGACAGTTTGCCTCCCACCTCCTCCTCCTCCTCTAGAAGCATTCCAGATAGCACTCAAACATCTGCTTAGAGACATCGTGGTGACTAAACCCAGGCTCAGAACTACTTGAAGAAGGATGCATACCGTTATAGTTTATTAAATAGTATTTTTTCATAATGGAAACATATATATATATTTAGTTTTTATTTCCCTGGTCCCCATGTAAATTCCCTTTTTGATATACCGGTGTGCTAACTACAGTACAATGTGCTGGTTCCAAGAAGACTTTGATGTAGGTTGCTTAGCCAATGATAATGTATTCCTAAACTGGCTATTATTACTTCTGGTTAAGTGTGTGAGTTTTGAAATAAAGAATTCTTACCGTGAAATGATGACCTCATATGAAAATGACCTCTTCCTGTCTTATATAATAGCAATCTCTCCTTTTCCCTCTCCTCAGATCCTCTCCTCCCGTCCTACACGTCTCCCACCTCTCCCCTGGACCTGTCTTCCCCCTCCTTCACAGACAGCCTCCCACCAGACAGCTCCAGCAGCCCCACCCCGGGGGGAGAGACCACCACGGCCCAGCCCAGCTACCCTCGCTTCATCGGACAGGGCTTCAACGAGAACCTCATCCCCATCTACTGCTCCATCCTGGCTGCTGTGGTGGTGGGGCTGGTGGCCTTCATCGTCTTCAAAAGGTGAGGGGTCATGGAATGGGACCAGAGACAAAGCAGGGAGATAGGATATGAGCACAGATAGAAGCAGATATCATGCAGATAGAAGCAGATATCATGCAGATAAAAGCAGCTTTCATGCAGATAGAAGCATATATCATTCAGATAGAAGCAGATATCATGCAGATAGAAGCAGCTTTCATGCAGATAGAAGCAGATATCATTCAGATAGAAGCAGCTATCATATAGATAGGATCAGATATCACACAGATAGAAGCAGCCATCACACAGGTAGAAGCAGCTATCACACAGATAGGACCAGAGACAAAGCAGGGAGGATAATACATGTATACAGACAGCACTTTTCTCTTTCAGTGGGCTCAGGCTGGAGGAGGGAGAGAGAGGGAATGAACTAGGACAGAGAGGTTGAATAGTCAGGGAGGGGAACAGACAGGCAGGGTGGTGTTTGAGTGATGTAGCCCATGGCTAAAGAAAGGCAGGGAGGCAGATAGAGAGGGACTGTATGGTGAAATATTCAGGCCTGCTGTGGAATGGCGAAACATTGACCCAGTTACACCACATGATTACACACACACACATACACTCCAACACACCATAATGCATTTCAAAGGTCACACACTCAGAGCATAATGATTGACAGAGGTCAGTCACACATCAAACATTAGAAATGACGCACAGAGACACACACACACACGCATGTGCACACAAACACATACACACACACACACACACACACACACACACACACACACACACACACACACACACACACACACACACACACACACACAGCGATTCAAACACACCATGTAGCAAGTAAACAAGCTCATCATCACATCCAGCATCTATTGTAAAGTGCAGTCCAGTTGAAATCTGAGTGGCTACTTCGTCAACACAAACAGTTACGGGGCTACTTTAGTATCTGTCTCCTTCCACTGTATAGACAGGTACAACACTGTCTGTTAAAAGGCTTTGATTGACTGATTGATTAGATTTGATCATTACAACTAGAAGGCTGCTCCAGCCAGAGACAACATTACATTAAAAATGATTGAGGATAAAACCACTATAAAGCCAGAAGGCTTGTTTCCCTTGTGCTTCTTTATGTTTACTGGAATACATTCAGAGATGTTCGATGACTTATCACTCCTCGTCCCTGCCACGTGTCCTGATGACGATCCCAATCCCAAAATGTCCATCACTTGCATCACACCAATTAAACCACTGCTGTGAACACAGTGTTACATGGCATGACTCACTTCTTCTCCGGTCACACCTTCCCAGGTGGAACAGCTGCAAGCAGAACAAACAGCCGGCTAACAACCGCCAAGCCACAGCAGCCAATCAGACGGTGACGCCGGAGGGGGAGAAGCTGCACAGCGACAGCGGCATCTCAGTGGACAGTCAGAGTCTGCAGGAGCAGCAGCATGCAGCCCAGGCCCAGGTCCCAGACACAGACACACAGACAGGAACATATAGGTGAGCTCTCATAACACTGTAACACTGTTACCTTAAAACACACACTGTACACTTAGCTAGATGCTGTAATGGAAGTCTGTATGTCTGTGTGTTCACCTGTTGGGTCTGTCATGACATTCCATGCTAGCTGGACTAGGCATATACAGATGGATAGATGGTTCCAGTACAGAAGTGAGCGATGAAAGTGGTAACAAAGTGAATTTAGGATACATATTGTATTATTGTACCTAGCGAGTCTCAGTTATTATCCCGTTGTGAATACATACTTAGAGATACGACTTTGTAAATGTCACCAAAGAAGTCTTAACATGGGAGGTTATGAAGGAGGGAAGGATGAGTAGTCTACACAATTTACATCTGATATCTGTGTTCTACCAATGTATACCCCTCTGCCTCTGCCTATGTGACCCGGCCTTCGATATATATATATAGACACAGAGAGAGAGAGAGAGAGAGAGAGAGAGAGAGAGAGAGAGAGAGAGGAGAGAGAGAGAGAGAGAGAGAGATAGAGTATAGAGACCGAGAGAGAGAGAGATAGAGCGAGAGAGAGAGAGAGAGAGCGAGAGAGAGGAGAGAGAGAGAGAGAGAGAGTGGACAGGGTGGTCCAGTATTCGGTTGGAGACAACACCACTGCCATCCAGAACAAAGATCCTCAATAAGCAGGAGGAAAGCATTGTGGGAAATACATGATGAATGGTTGTGAAGGAGGAGAGCAACCTTTTAAACGGAACAAGAAAGTTAAAACAAAAGCAAGAGCTTCAGGAATGTGAAGTGGTCTCTCTATAGAGCCTGGAGCGATCTACCTTCCTTCAATTCAAAAATCGGTGGCACAGACACAGTCAGTCCTCTTATACTGAGGAGAACCATGCTCTACTTACTCCTCTCTCCCTCTCTTTATCTCTTTCAACTTATCTCTCTCTTTCTGTGTCTCTCTAGATATCTACTCTTTCTTCCTCCCTTTCGCTCTCTCTTTTTCTTTATCTCTCTCTCTCTCTGGAGTCTCAGTGGCGTGGCACAGTTTCTGTCCACTCAGAGGAGTGATAGAGAGAGCTTTGTCATCAGAAGGAAGAGAGGAGACCAACTACAGAGTGAAGAGTTTGTTTTTCCAACCTCCTAAGTGCTGAGCCAGAGCCTAAGGGCCCTACACATCCAGTGACTCAGCATCTCTCTCTAAACAGTCATGAATACATAACTGAAGAAGTTATGAAGTAGTTATGAGGTAGTTCAGAAGACAATTATAAAGTCACCTGACCTCTGCTGTTTTGGATCTTACCCACAACCTAAATGCATACCCATGCCCATGTGATGCCTGGGAAACCTGGGAAATGCTGCTATTGTTTTATTTTGTGTTGTGGGAATTCTATTCATTTTCTCCCCACTCAGAAATGCAAAGCCTCAGCACAATGGAGAAAAGGGGGCATCTTTCCCTGAGGATTAGCATGTGATTGGGTCATTGAGTAGATGCCCGCCCCTTTAACCTTAGTCTCTTTGTGTGATTGGCTCATTAGCAGGTGTTGTGTGATGGAGGCCAGGCCCGATCCCCCTGCCTGTTTAAATCTGATCCAGCAACAGTGTTTAATGTCTGCTAATTAGCGTTAGCGCTGTCTTCTGCGCTGAAGCCATTAAAATACAGTACTGCACACAGCATGCTGTGGGTTGTGCGTCTCCTCCACTGCTAATGGGGACTTGTTAAAATATAAAACACCCAAGGGGGTGAGAATATGTACAATAAATCCATAAAATCATAAGGGTTTCCTTTTCAAATGAACCATATTTTACACATACAGTATGACTGAAAAGCCCATAGCAGTCTTTGTAGACGGTGTCATACTCAGTCAAAACAAGTCAATTAAGATTTCAAGTGAAATATGAAAATCTATCAAATATGCCCTGTGCTTTGATTGACAAGCTCAAAAGGACTCCCCGGGTCATTGTGTGAGTCACTGCCTTGGGGTAAGACCTCTCAAAAGACTTACAAACATCAATAATAAGTATTCTCTACTCTCCAGTGCAATCTGGTGATCTTTTAAAAAGCAATCTGTCTTTTCCCTCTGAGGCCCCTTCCCCCTTTACGCTGGAGTATTCCTTCCTCAAGGGGCAGAGGGAGAGTGGTGTTTAAAATTTAAATGGGACTCAAACCTCTCACTCGTCTCCATCACCATGCCTCTGTCCTTAATCTGATCCCATTCTCTACCTGAACGGTAGTCACAGAAACTGTCAATCAAAGTCTGCTCGTCCCGGGTTAGAGGGGCAGTGTGAGTAAAAGCAAGTCTAGATTTAGTGAATAGAAATCGTAGCATACCCGTCTTGGATTAGACTAGCTCAAGGAGGTAGTCCTGGGTAGGAGAGTACTAGTTGGGTAGAAGAAGCTTTGAACTTAGAAAGCTATTGGGGTATCTGGCAGTAGCAATTGGTGGAGTTAAGCAATCGTGTCGTGTCCGTCTAGGGGCTCTCGACAGTTTACATAGGAGTATCCTTCGGGAGAGAGTGTGTTAAAGGTATGGGACTAAATCTCATCGTCGGTTCTGCGATGAGCTTTGTCCATCGTGATCCTTCTGACGAAGCAGTAGTCACGAAAGTCATCAAGTCTGCTCGTCCCGGTAGGGGATGGCTAAAGTAGTAGTAAGGGTAGGAGTAGGATAGTAGGGTAGGGAGAGTAGCTAGTGGGGTAGGAGGTAGTGGGGTAGGAGTAGTAGTAGGAGAGTAGCTAGAGGGTAGGAGAGTAGCTAGGGGGTAGGAGTGCTAGTGGGTGGGGAGAGTAGCAAGTAGGGTATGGAGAGTAGCTAGTGAGAGTAGCTAGTAGGGTAGGAGAGTAGCTAGAGGGGTAGGAGAAAGTAGCTAGAGGGGTAGGAGAGTAGCTAGTGGGGTAGGAGAGTAGCTAGTGGGGTAGGAGAGTAGCTAGTAGGGTAGGAGAGTAGCTAGTGGGGTAGGGGAGTTACTAGTGCAGTAAGAGAGTAGCTAGTGGGGTAGGAGTGTAGCTAGTGGTAAGAGAGTAGCTAGTGGGGTAGTAGAGTAGCTAGTAGAGTACAATTCTAGTGTTGTAGTAGAGTAGCTAGTGTAGTAGGGAGTAAAGCCATTTCTGTTGTAGAGGCAGTCCTGGGATGGGGATGAGGTAGACAGCAAGAGCTTCAGATTAGGAGAAATACTGACGTAATGCATTGTCCAAAACACTTTGAGACTAAATGAAAAGAGCTATATAAATGCTAATCCATTATTGGCATTAATCATGAATAAATGTAACGTAATGTAGTGATGACCTCTATTTTGAGTAGAATAGAATAACTTGAGTCTCTATTGACTCTGTTCTAAAAGAGAGAGGGATGTCAGTGGTGGGAGGGGTACAGTGTGACAATCAGACAGGTCACATTTACATTTTACATGTACACTTTGGTAATTCAGCAGACGCTCTTATCGACAGCGACTTACAGTCAGTGCATTCAACTAAGGTAGGTAAGACAACCACAAATCACAGTCCCTGTTTAAGCAACATCACATCACAGAGAGGGTAATTGAATGTGAGGAGGAATGTGAGACGCCTCAAGGTGCCAGAGGCCATGACATAACTGCCAGCTGATTGACAGGGGTCTGGTTAGGGCTGGTCAAATAACCCTGGGGCAACAGAAGGTAATCAGCATGTCTCCTGTATTCCATTCCTGCCTTTAAGAGGAGAGCAGTTGATTACCTATTCACTGCCGATCTCAATCTCAGTCTTAATCAGCTATCTTTAAAGCTTCGGAGTGGCCTGAAATCAAATCAGCATCGGCTGAACTTACTAATGGAAGATCAACTGTGTTTGTGCTTTCCAATGACTTGGACTATTCTGAACATGCCCAGTAGAATTTGATCTGATAAAGACTGGTTAATACCTTAGAATTGGAATGTGTGGAGCAGTGGTTCCCATTTAAAGCAACCATTAGATTTTGGGTGTCAGCAATCTTTATCAATTAAGCCACCAACTGACTCAGTAGGTTTACATTTGCAGTCTAGGGAGGGCTGCATGAACCATTCAAAGAGGAGATCCTGAAGAGGAGCACAAGTATTTTGCTGCTATCATGAAAAGACAGAATGATGCATTCAGCAAGACTGCTCAGTGTCTCTCTGCAGTGTCTGTGATGCCCATAGGATGGCTGTCTAAACAGGAAGGAGAACAATTTACAGACTGCATGACGTGCTCTGGAGAGAATCAACACAAATAACGAGAGCTAAAGGAGAGGCAGAGAAAAAAGAGAGGATTTCAGAAAAAAAATCTAATGTGTGTAGAATGAGAGAAGATCGTCTGTAGCAGCCTTCGTCTGTGTTCACCACATACACTTAAACAGGCCCGATGATGTCATAGCGTGGTTGATACAAAAAAGCCCTTCTTGTGAACCTTTAGAATTAGAGCTCTCTTGTACATTCTGGCTGGCACAGGGGTGCATTGATCAAGACAAGAAAACAACCAGTGAACTCGGAGCTCCTCTAAAAAACGCCTCTGAATTCCGGAAGCGTTTCCATGGCACCCCTCAATTGACAACAGGTTGAAGGGCTTGTGGGAAAAGGGGACATTTGTCCCTCTTCCTCACTCCCTGTAGTAATGAGTTCAGTGAAACAGTTGGAGGGGTTGATGAGTGTGTGACCTCACAAGGCCCCCTATAAGGCAGAGTGTGTCAGAGTGTGTCAGATTGGACACAGCATCATAGACCACTGACCATATATGTTTTTAACATGTTTCTCTCTCTGTCTCTCTGTCTCTCTGTTTCTTTCTTTCACTCTCTCCCCCCCCCCCCCCCCCCCTCTCTCTCTTTCTCTCTCTCTGTCAGTGGTGAGGGTGGATGGGGGGCCTGACTCACCTCCCCCCCAGGTCTGAGGAAGAAGAGAAGCCACTGACAGGAAGGAGGAAGAGGAGGAGAAGGAGGAGAGGGGGCAGTGGGGTTGCCATGGAAACCTGGATGTGGGAACGGACATACAGTATAAGAGTACAGACTGAGTGGGCTTCTTGGATACAACAAGGACGTTGTCGAC